TACGGAAAGGTTGTTCCGTGATCCAAGTGGGCTGAAAGACGCTGTACCACGCAATTTCCCTAGCCCCGTTATACCAACTCCCACTTACACGGGCGTGAACAAAAGATTTCCGAAAAACACAGTTCCTTTTACTGCGCATGCTCACTGATTTTGTCCCTGTCACGGAGACAGTGACAGACACACGAGAGACGACTCACTAGTCGGCAGCCGCTAGAGCACTAGAAGGTAAGATAACTCAAGTCAGTTGTTTTAAGTACAATAGGCATTTATGTGATTTCTCATTTCAGATTTACTTTGCAAAAAGTACTGCTTACAGAGTGGTGTTTGTGGGGACGGCCTAAGTAGGAAAGGTAATTTTAATAAGTCCACGTCATGCCCCAAGACTTCCTCTCCACCATGAACCTGCTTCTTCAACCATGCAAATGTCTTAATTTCTATAGTCCTTTTTCACTAACGCCTTTTAATCATATTCATATTTTACACTACACCCATAGAGCTGTTGCACGGAAGTAATCAACGGGAGGGTGTGGCTAAAATTGAGCTAAATTGTCCGCCATGTTGGGTGGCAAGAAGGCCAAGAATGAATGGGGGAACGGAGAAAAAAAATTTAATAAATTCTGCAGTTGACATTCCAGGCTAATGCAAGATAGGAGATGAAGATATTGAGTAAAGAAGTCTCTATAATATTCTGCAGCGAAGTATGATATCTCTTTGATGAAAAATTGCAGTTTGTTTCCATTCCTCCATTCGTTGCGTGTACATTCTTGCCACTCAAGATGGCCGACAGGAAGCTCCACCTACCCCGTTGATTACATCCATGCAACAGCTCTATGTTTAATTTTGGGTGTTACGGACTTACTGTACTTTGACTTCGTAGTAGGGCCTTGCCCTTGATAGCACTTAATTGGCCACCAAATATTAATTGTCTTGGTTTTAAAGTGCATGAATAGTGAAATAACTAGAGAAATATACTTAGAGGATTATTTTTCATGTAAGAAACTACATGTATACCACATGTACATGTACATGTAAAGGTCTAGAGCACGCCTCATAACTTTTATCAATATGTTATGTTAAGATACATGTAAATTCTATTCTCCACACATGCTCTTCTATTCAGTTTAATGCACTAGTAGGGCCTACTGTTGTATTTGATACCAAGTTTTCATGACAAATGTCAATTAGCACTTATCAAACAAAGCATTTCAAATGATCATCAATTGTCTAAAGCATATAAAACATAAAGCATATAATAAGCATGTAAGTATATAAAGCATTCTTCATGCCTTACAATCACTACATCTGTGTTAATATGACAAATGTTATTTTGTATTTACTACCAAGGTATAGAGAATGAATTATAGACCAATTCAGTGGGGAGCGGGAAGTGCCTGTCCTGCATGTGATGTTGCAACTTAACAATGCTACTTTGTGGACTGTATCATATTTTGTGACATAGTATCAAATGTCCCTTATATGCTGTGATTGTACAACTATTACCAAATTAAAATGAGATATGGCTTGATATTGAAATGAATAATTGCTAAAAATTACTGTATTGATTGGAAACATTCATCATGCACCCTGAGTGGGGTTTCTTCACTAAGATTTACTTTGACCCTAGTAGCTCATTCATATCCTCTCTAACCTTTGCCTGCAGAAAAGGTGCTGTAACGTATAAAAGAACAAAAGGAAATGCCAGGAAAACAAAAAGGTATTATGATTATTGATTAAAGTAGAGCCACACTGACTTAATGAACTTTGAGTTGAAATAACTTTCTTATTTTACTGACAATTAACAGCTACTTTCATGTGAAAACTACTGTGCCTTTATAATTAGCTAAAGAAAGTCAGTGTGGCCTTACTATAGTTTTAAACTACATGTATGTTCAATGTTACCATAATCTCAGGTAAACTTACATGTAACTTGTGTGAATTTATCTAGCATTCACCAAACGAC